TTGTCCAGCATGCATTTTCTGACTTGACTGTTTAGAAATTAAGTGTTAACGAGCAGTTGGACAGGTGTACCTAATAAAGTGGCCGGTGAGTGTATATATATATATATATATATATAATGTTTCATGTTCAAACCCTTGTGCTCATCTGAACACATGCAGCAGTGTGCATGTCTGCTGAGTGGCCATCAGGGGGCAGTGTTAGATCGGTTTTGTCCAGCATGCATTTTCTGACTTGACTGTTTATCCCTCACGTTTAGTAAAGTTATTGAACAGGAAGACTTAAGAAGTGTGGAGAAACGCAGATGAACAAAAAATCTTTTTCAGGTTGTGGAGCACATCAGATAAATCATGATTTATTCCGTCCTCAGACTGAGGAAAGAAAACTGCAGCAGTCACCAACACACCAGTCCAAAAATTAAATCCTCCTTGACCAAAAGTCCAAGAACAACTTAGTTACGTAAAGAGCTGAACAGGTTATCATTATTGTTTTCAGTTTTGGTGTGGTGATAGCTGAGAGTCATCCTCAATACATACTCTAATTACCAACAGAACTCACAACATCGCTCAAGAAAACGCATAATTTTTCTGTCGCGGTTAGTAAGACTGAGCCCAGGAATGCAGACTCATTGGAGAAACTAAAAAAATAAGACATTATTTTATTTTTAATCAAAACAAATTGCAGTCGTGGCAGCCATATTTAAAATCTTAGGATCAGGGAAGTAAAAAACACAAAGAGACCGGGAAAACCAGAGGAGTGTCGTGAAGGACCAGCCTGGTGACAACTAAGCTTAATGGGACAGGGACCAGGTGCGTTTGGTTGTGGCAGGACCGGAGTGTAGGCTGACAATGGAAGGGAACACAAAGAAAGAAAATAATCATGGAAACAAAATCCTGGCAACAAACTCAAAACAGAGAACACACGTATCACAATGTTATTTGCAAGTTTGGACCAAAAAGGCTTCAAATCTGTCCCTTTTCAGACAATTTAGTCTCAAAGTCTGGCATAAAAAGCGCCCGGTGATGTGCATATCCTTAAATAAGCAGATGACCATTTGCTCTGCAGCCGCTCAGCATGCTGATCACAGTGTTATTAGGCTACCTGCTGCCTCTCATATTCCCAGAGACTCACATCGTGCAGACACACACAGGCACCTAATGATAAAACTGCACAGAAGCCAGAAACACAAGCCGCTCTCTCTGTCGCCTGGTCAGACTAATGGTGCTGCTGTTGGTTGGCTGCAACACGGTGGGCTCTTCTTTGAACAAAAGCCTGACAGGATTTCACTGGACGTGAGAGACGACTGGAAGGCTCGTGGTCATCAGCGAGGAGCGGCTCTGCATTTCAAACGCAGCTTTCATCCACATCTTTTGGCAATGGAAGTTTTGTTTTGGTTAATGCTTTAACAACAGGGGGGAGAGGCTGCATCCTGGAAAAGAGTCATTTGTTGCTCGTTTCCAAAGCACACTGTGAATAATTTGAAAAACATGAGCTACTTTTCAGTTTTTTTTATTTAGTTTTTCTCCCAGCAGTGAAATATATTTTCTTAACTAAACTATTTATTTTGGGTTGAAAAGAGGTTATTAAACTAAACTCATTGAAACTTTGTGACATGACCATCAGCATGAAGTCTTTAAAAACCCAATAATTACTCTACACTGGAATGCTTAAAAAAAGCATTTCTCCTCTTTTAAATCATTTGAATAATCTCCACTTTCCTCTAAATGATGTGAATGTTTTTTGATGAGAATTCAGTTTAACAACAATAACAAAACCAATTTTTTACTGATCAAGTAAAATTAAGTAAAAAGGACTTTCTGAGTGATAAAAATTTATAAATCTCTATGATAGGTAACATTGCAAATTAGCCTGTAAATGTTTTACAGTTGAAATCAGACGTTTACATACACCGTATAAAAAGACATATGCATTTTTGTTTTTTTGGCGTGAAATCAGAATAAACCTTTCTTGGTTTTGGTCAAGGATTACCACAATTGTTTCTGTTTGCTAAATGCCAGAATTTGACTTTTCTTCAAAGTCAAAAGTTTAAATACAATAAGGTTGCTTTTACAACAATTTGGGACATTTGATGCCTCCTCAGACAGTGTGAAAAAAATGCATATGTGTCTTTTTACAGTGGTTTGCAAAAGTATTCATACCCCTTSAACTTTTCCATATTTTGTCACATTACAACCACAAACATAAATATATTTCACTGGAATTTAATGTGAAAGACCAACACAAAGTGGTATACAATTGTGA